TCCCTCCTAAACACAACTGAACTTCTGTCCTCAACACTCCATTTCTTAGAAAACTTCCTATTAAAACAGCAACAAAAGCAACAATCGCTAGTATTTAAGGACCTAGAGAAACAAGATTTTTCTTTTCATAATTTCATGGGACCCATTTTCTCTGACTTTTACAGATAGATGATAGATAGACAGATGATAGATGATAGATAGATGATAGATAGACAGATAGATAGATTGATAGATGATAGATAGATTGATAGATTGATAGATGATAAATAGATAGATGATAGATAGATAGATAGATAGATAGATAGATAGATGATAGACATGATGGATGGATAGATGATAGATAGATATAAGATAGATAGATAGATAGATAGATAGATAGATGATAGACAGATGATGGATGGATAGATGATAGATAGATAGATAGATAGATAGAGAGATAGATAGATAGATATAAGATAGATAGATAGATAATAGATAGATAGATAGATGGATATGATCAATGATAGACAGATGATGATGATAGATAGATAGATGATAGATGGATGGATGATAGATGATCATTGATAGACAGATGATAGATACATAGATACATAGATAGATAGATAGATAGATAGATAGATAGATAGATGATAGATGATAGATAGATAGATGATAGACAAAGATATATATGTAACAACAATAATCAAAGAAAAGGACAAGAAATTGTGAGGGACTGGGGGCCATGGGAGAGGGACTGGGAGGGGAAATAATACAAATATTAGACTCATGCATCACACTCTCGAAAAACCAAAATAATTTTAAAAGACTTGTAAGAATTCAGCCTTTGATACACATACCACCTTCTAGACTGCACCCTCTGGAATCCAGAAGCACACCGCATCCTGTCAGCCCCACTCTGCTGTCAGTGCCTCAGAATTTGTAGCCATTTTTAGCACCTGCATCTCCATGTTGTACTGAGCCATGCACATTAGGTCTCGGGTCCCACATGGAGCCCAGAGCTGGGCACACAGCTGGTACTCAGTCTCTGTCAGCAGCTGTGAGCTGTAAGTACCCGTTTCTAAGTGCAGCTGGTGCTCCTGTTACCAAGTACAGTTCCTCTATGATGCTTTTCTTGGAGACTGAGTTTTATTTGTACATTTTTATTGAATAATTTTTGTGTATTTCATACATACAAGACTTCTTAATCACCTTTATATGCCTCCCACCAGATTTCATGCATTCTGTCATTTATTTTTTTGATTTTATGTGTATGTATTGCCTGCATGTAGGTAGGTGCACCCGTGTCATGCAATGCCCACAGAGGTGAGAAGAGGGCGCTGGATGCCCTGGAACTAGAGTTACAGACAATTGTTAAGCCACCATGTGGGTGCTGGGATTCGAACACAGGTCCTCTGCAAGAGCTTTCAATCGCTGCACCATCTCTCCAGCCCACATTCTGTCATTTATGTTAAGGTCTATGGAGTCAAGTTAATGGACCAAGGCATCCCTCAATGCAAGTTCATCTACTGGGATCTAGCCAGCCTATCTAGAGTCACTCCCTTAGAGAAGATCAACTTTCCCTCACACAGCAGTGAGCAGCTGCCAATAATTCTTTGGCTAAGGTTGGGGCCTGCTGCCCATTTCCACGGTTCTAGGTTTTTGTCTGCTTGAGTTTGCATGGGTCTTGTGCATGCCGACACCATTGCTGTAGTTCATATGCGCAGAGTCCCAGGAGCCTGTTACTCTCATTCCATATGGTCATGCACCACCTCCCTCAGCTCTTACAATCTTCCCACCCTCTCTTCTGCAACAGTTTCTTAGCTGTGGGTAGGTGAAGTTTAATATAAGAGACCTGTGTAAGGACCCGTACTCTGCAGACTCTTAATATCCATACTTTGGCCATTTGCAGCCTTTTGTCATGGCTCTCTGTTCCATGAGGGATCTTTATTGATGGTAGTTGAGAGATGCGTTAGTATTCTCTCACCCCTTGATCCTCTGTGTTCCATGAGCCTTAGGTATAGATGTAGATGTATCACTTAGGGGTAGGCAAAAATACGGAACATTTCACAAATTTTCATGTCATCCTTGCACAGGGGCCATGCTAATCTTCTCTATATTGTTCCCATTTTTAGTATATGTGCTGCTGAAGCGAGCACCCTTGGAGACAGTTTTATCTCCCTATTATTTAATAGGGGTTGGAGAGGCCACCTCGTGTGTGTAATTGTGTTTGACTAATTCTTGGAGACAATTGTGTGCTCTGGAGCAAGGACTCTGTGTGTTGAGGGAAGGATCAGCATGCAGGGTCACATGGGTGGGCTGCACATGAACCCCTGTGCATCCCAGCCCATTGGCTCAGCTCCAGCCCCCAAGCTTCTGCCCCACAGTCTGCTAGCTTGGTATTCAATCACTTTTATTGTAACGGGCGCAAAAATGGAGCCAGGGGGAATGTTGCTTGCTATTTTCTTCAAACCACTTAAGTTGATGGCCAGAGTTTAAGTTAACAGGTTATGGAGCTGAAGACACCTTAATGGATTAGAAGCTCATATGGAGTTGCTAATTTAATTTCCTTTTTTATTGCTGTTCTCTTACAAAACAGCACAGATAGCCCTTTGTCTGAGAGTGGGATATTAATAACTATGGCACACCGCAAGAGCAAAGAAGGGCGTTAAGATCTTGCAAGGTCTCTCTATTTGTCCCTGACCTCTCAAGGCTTCTCTGGCCGACCCAGATAGGGGAACAGACCCAAGGGATTAACTGCTCAAACTCTGAGGAAATGGAAGCTGCCCTTGGCCACTGTCACCAGACTCAAGTAGCAGTCCCCACCTGCCCAGAACATAGGTCTGCAAACAACTCCATCAGCCATGGTAAGGGGCTTACCAAAGAAAAATGGGCACTTAGGCTTCCAAGTGCAAAACACTAATGCCCCAGTGTCCTTATCATGGAGGGTGACTCTGAGCCCCTGGGAGAGGCGATCTTCCTTCTTTGGGCACAGCAGGTCAGAAACTTCCCTGAGCTCAGTAAGCAGCCCTCAGGGATGGTGTCCTGGGATGAGAGGAGCATGTGGACCATCCCAGACCAGCATCCTTTCTTCAGCCCTGGTGTGGGTGTGGCTTTCTCCTTCCATCAGACAAAGGCCTGGCTTTCCCCTGGCTACACCGAGGCATACAGACAAGGATATATAGGGACCAGCACCTTTGCAACTGATCCCTTTCCCAGCTGCCCCTTCCTGGAGCTCCTGGCTTTCTAAAACCTCAGGGTTAGATGAGCCTCAGAGGTCATGAGTGGCCAGTGTCCTCTGTTGGACACCTCCAAGAACAGAACCACCAGCTTCTGCAGGCAGATGTCCCAAGGGGAGCCCTTAGCCCATGCTGCAGCATCCTCAATCAGGAGGTGCCACGGGACCTGAGTGAGCCACAACCTGGCTGCACAGGCCCCAAAGCCCTGTGACTCCAGCAGGTACCTCCAATATGGCAGTGAGGTATAATCAAGCTTATTTCAAACCTTACATGTCTCCTGTGTGGTGACCGCTAACTACGTGTGCAATGCAGCCAGGCTGAATTAAGGTCCCAGGAAGTCTAAATACATGTTTTGAAGGCTTGTATGCAAAAGAGGCCAACATTGCTTTTATGTTGATTACATGTCAAAATGTCAACTTTGTGATACATTGAGTTAAAGTAGGTTATTGAAATCAGCATCACCTCTTTCTTTTTACTGTGTTATCTAGCTGCTGGGAAATATATTAGATATATGGTTTGTGTCATATTTCCACGGACAGTGCTATATTTAGAGAAGACGGAGGAAATGTCTTAAAAGTCAACCAGACTAGGACTGGAGATGGAGCTCAGTTGGTAGAATGTTTGTCCAGGATGCACGAAGTCCTGGTTTATTCTGCAGAATCCCATAAGCCAGGCATGGTGGCAGATGCCTGTAGTCCCAGGACTCAGGAGGCAGAGGCAGGAGGATCAGATGTTCAAGGTCATCCTCCTCTATATACATCAAGTTCTAGGCCAGCCTGGTAACATGAGACCCTGTAACATATTTTTAAATGAGTGAACTAGGTAGAATTATGATCACGAGTCAGAGGGCTAAATTACCTCCTAACGTAGTGTGGGCCCCCCAGAAGGCTTGTTCCTGAGCTGTGCCAACCTCTGCAGCTGGAAGAGCTGGGGGTTGGGACCCCTGGCAAGAAATCCTCAAAAGAGTGACTTCAAGGCTGTACTGTGACAAGTATCATCAAGATCAGAAAAGCAAAGCAGTTTTCAGAAGCACCTGAGATTTACAAGTGCCAACAGATGGTCTGAGTTTTCATATTCTCTTCTGGGTCTCTGTACAAAATCCAGAGAAACAATCACAGACCTGCTGCCACATGGGTGCCAGCAGACATTTGCCACTTGGAATAGCTCCTTCAGGGCTCACACAGCATGCTGGTTTACAGACTAATACGATCGCAAGAGTTATTATTCCTCTAAACCACAGGCATATCTGGGGTACCCACTTAACGACGCCCATAGAATAAATTACTTCCGGATGACACTTTTTAATTGAATTGAACTAACAGCTTAGTAATATGATGCAATAAGAATAATATTAGGATGATTAAAAGATCTGAGAACTCTTGTGAAATTAAATGATTAAACGCAATGCTGAGTAAATGAATGAGTCCGTGGACATTAATCAGTTGTGGGCCTCCGCAGATAGTTGTGTAACTAGGTATTCTTTATAGTCCCACACACTCACGGCTTCTCTCTCCCTACATGTGGCCCCCATTATGGCCTCCTTCAGGCCACTCAAGGAGCCAAGTGGCATTTCCTAGAGATCAAAAGAGTACTGGTACTTTACTGCCTGCAAGTGTTATGTGAATCATTGCCTCCCATCGGGCGCTCAGTCCTATGGTTGTGACCACAAGACTCAGCCAGGTTGGTAATTCTCAATCCTTGTTTTTAGTTGAAACATTTAGGAGCAAAGGAGCAAAAACTCAGATTCTTAACCTGACAAATTGATACACAACTGTAATCTTTCCCAGCACTCAGGGTGTCTGGAACAGAAGGATCATAAATTCTGGGGAGATGGCTCAGTCAGGAAAGTGGCTCCTGTACAAGCCAGAGGACCTCAGTTTGGATCCCCAGGAACCATGTAAACGCTAGGCATGAAGGTAGAAGTCTGTAACCCTAGTCTGGGTTTGGGGGGGGCAGTAATCAGAGATGGGGAATCCCTGGAGCTCATCACCCAGCCAACCTGGCTGGTTGGTGAGTTGATGAATTAATAAGCTCCAGGTTCAGTGATAGAAGTTATGAAAAAAACTAAGGTGGAGCCAGGCATGGTGGGCACACCTTTAATCCCAGCACTTGAGAGGCAGAGGTAGACGGATCTCTGTGAGTTCGAGGCCAGTCTGGTCTCCACAGTGAGTTCCAGGCCAGCTGGGGCTACAGGGAGACCCTGTCTCAAAAAGGAAAAGGAAAAAAACCAAGGTGGAGCTATATCAAGGTAGATACCTGACATCAACCTCTGACCTTCACACACATGCACACACAGCAGTACACACACACACACACACACACACACGCACACAGCGTTCATTTATTCATTCCTAGTAGGTCCCCTTCTCCTCCCTCTTTTGTAAAATGCCCCTTGTTCCCCCTTAACCCATTCATCTGAACTTGTTTTCACATCCTCAGACTGTTGAATCTGCCAAGTTTGTCCTAGAAAGGCGGGATGGGGTGCCATACATATTGGGAGGAGGTTTCCATGGCCAAAGATGGCTGCTCCTCTGGATGGAAGGGAGAGCAACGGCTGTGGAGAGTGTCCCAGGGTGGCACGTCCTATGTCCTTCCCTGCTTCCCACCCTCCCTCCACCACTGGCCATAACAACCAGTACCACGTAGGTGCCTTTTGTATGAACTGGAAGACTGATTAACTTTCTAACACAGTTCATCCCCACCTGCCCAGAGATAGCAGAGGTCATTTCTTTTCTGATATATAAATCTTTCATGCCCAAATTGCAGCCATAATTAGTTGCGTAAAAAATCAGGTTATGATTCGGGCTGTTATTAGGGAAACATGAAAACATTGAAAAGTTTGGTTTTAATCTCTAATAAAAACTCAAGGTCTCTGTTATAGAGAACAGAAGGGACTTTGTATCTCATTAAGGTTAAAATTGAATTCAGAGCAGATTCTCACTGGCTGGACTTGATGCTGAATATATTTCCCCAGGTGCACCTGGCAGGAAGTTCAGGGCAGGTCTGCTCTTGTCTACAGCCTGCAATGCCCACGTGGCCCCCTCCAGGCTGCCTTCCTAGGCTAAGGGTCTGGAACTTTCCAAAATAAGGCTGCGAGATGCCTAGAAGAAGCCTGTCCTCAAATGAAAATAGGTTCTCCACACACAAGTGCCTTTAGAACACAGTGGCGTCCCACTCAGCCAGTGGCTCCTGAAGAGTGAGTCAGCTTTCTGAAACGTCCCAGAAACACAGCTGCAGTCAGGGGTTGGTGCACATAACTGCCAGGGGCACTAGATTCTTCCCTCTCAGCTGGGTGAGCCCAGAGCCAGAGAAAGGAATTACATTCCCACGGCTACCCTGGAGACCAAGAGGACTCTGGAAGGTCAGCAGGTGTTGGCAGGGTGTCCTCCCTCACAGCTACTGTGCCTCCTCCTACCTCAGGCCTCCAGCCGGGGTTGTGAAGTAGTTCTAATTGTATTGGAAATGCGCAGAGACTGTTGCCATTAGGAAGCCAATGGTTTGAGCTTCACAGAAAGAAATTACAGCTTCCAGAGGGTCCCCATCATGAACCCAGCTCATTATGAATTTACCAAATCCATCCTTTCTGCTTGCACAGTGGGTTACACCTGCAGTATTAGTTGATGTTCCATCACTGTAACAAAATGCCTGAGGAAAAAAATAATACATGGAAGAAAGGCTTATTTTGGCTCACAGTTTCTTGGGTTTCAGCCCAGGGTCTCTTGGTTCCATCACTTCAGGCCCATGAAGGCACAGTGCGTCATGATGGGAGTACATAGAAGAAACCTGTTACCTCAGAGAGACTGGGGAACAAAGAGAGAAAGGAGGATGCTGGGGTCCCAAGCTCCCCTCAAGGGCACACCCCCAATGACTGGCCCCCTTTGGCTCTGCTCCCTCTAGGTTCTGAACTCCAGAAGGTCCCA